CCACATTATATCTATTAGCTCATTAGTTGATGGTCATTTGGATTATTACCACTTTTGGGCTATTATGAATAATGTTGATATGATCATGTGCCCTCACCAGGAATTGAACCAGGACCTCTCAGTCCAGGGGAGGATGCTTAATCCACTGAGCCACAACAGCTGGGCTAAATGTCATCTTTTTTAAAAAACAAAACAAACTCTATATCCAATCCTCCTTCCTGTCATTACCTCATTTCTTTGCTCCTTATACAACAAAAGTCCTTGTTGATTGTCTAAACTTGTTTTCTCCAGTTTCTTTCTTCCCACTTACTCTTGAAACGCACTCCATTCAGGTTCTCACTCCTTCCATTCTTCCAGACCTGCTCTTGACCAGCCCCAGTGACATCCATATTGCTAAATCAACAGTCAATTTCTGGTCCTCAGTTTACAGCACTTGACACAGATGATCACTTCCTCTACCTTGAAGCTCTTGTTTTCCTTTGCTGTGATAAAAGTTTGAATTATTGTTTAGCAAATGGTCATTCTCTTCACCCTTCCACTGCAGGTCGAATATGCTTCCCCACTCCCACCCCATGTTGGATTTGGCTATGTGACATATTCTAGCCAACAGAATATTAGCCAACTTGATGTGAGCAGAGGCCTTAAATGTGCTTCAGTGATGCGATCAGAGGCCCCAAAAGCTTGTGAGCTTTGGATTCACTCTCGTGTCCCAGTTATCTACCATGAGGACATCTTTTTCAGGTGGCTACCATCTCTTCAGTCTGGGTGCTGGCATGAACACACATGGAACAGACTTAAGCTCAATCAGCAACTTAATCCAGAGCCCCCCAGCTGAACACAACCTAGGTCAGCTGAACTGCAACTAAACTGTGGACTTGTGGGTATAAGAAGTATATCGCTATAAGCTACTGAGCTTTTATGTGTGGTTTGTTATGCAGCATTATTGTGGCAGTAGCTGACTAACCCACTTGCCTTCCAGGATACATCACTCTCATGATTGTACTCCAACCTCGGTTCTCACTGTTCTTTCTCAGATAGTTCTGTTTATTTACTGTACCCACCTCATTTCCCTAACTACTTAATAGTGGAGTGTCCCAGGACTCAGTGCTCAAACTGCTGGTCTGACTCTTGGTGCTCTTAGCCATTCTCATCTCATGCCTTTAAATCAGTGGTTCTCAACCTTCCTAATGCCGTGACCCTTTAATACAGTTCCTCATGTTGTGGTGACCCCCAACCATAAAATTATTTTTTGTTGCTACTTCATAACTGTAATTTTGCTACTGTTATTTCTTAGGCGACCCCTGTGAAAGGGTCCTTCCACCCCCAAAGGGGTCGGGACCCACAGGTTGAGAACCACTGCTTTAAATGTTATCTGGAGGCTGACTACTCCCAAAGTTGTATTGCCAGCTCTCACTTGAACTCCAGACGGGTATAACCAATTGCCTATTTGACATTCCCACTTAAATATCTAACAGGTATCTCAAATTAAATTAGTCCCCCAAACAATTCCTGACTATCCCCCTTCCACCTTTCTTATCTCACAGTCTTTTTTTTTCAATGGGAGGAAAAGTTTGAAAAAGTAAGGTTTAATTTTAAAAATCATATACACAGCCTAGCTGGTGTGGCTCAGTGGAATGATCATCTCCCTGTGGATTGAGAGGTCCGGGTTTGATTCTTGGTCAGGGCACATGCCCAGGCTGCAGGCTCGATCCCCTGCAGGGGGTGTGCAGGAGGCAGCTGATCCATGTTTCTAACTCTCTTTTTAAAAAAAGAATTAAAAAAAAATAATACACAGAACAACTCCTGACTTATTTCAAACTCTCCCGTGGGGTCTTTCACAGGCAAGTCAGTTTCCCATTGAGTCCAGAGCACTTAAAGATGCACCCACAGTGGACAGCGAGCCAGCCCCCCCTGAACAGGTTAACAACAGCAACTGCTGCTCAGGGTTGAACAAATGTCCATAACCTGATGACTAAGGAACAAGGTTGGCTTCCCAGGTGGTTCAGAAGGCCAGTTTCTTCATCAGCAGATAAGCTCTGGAATCCACTTCAAATCCATGCAGGATGTTGGCATCACGCTGTAGCCTCAGGAGCAGGCTCCCATAGGACGCGTAGGTAGAGAGACGTGTTGCTGCTTCAGTAGAAATTGCATCTGCCTCAGTCCCATACGCTTCCCCATACTTGACGTACCCAAATTGGTCAAACCTGGAAAGTCTAATATCTGTGGGGTTGTATTCACCATCATCCAAGGTACATCGTCACACAAAGCCTACAGGGTAAATGTGAATGTTTACATTTAAGATGAGGTCCACTGTGAAAGATTCACTCTCACCATGTAGTCTACATACTCCGTCAAACTTCTTGCCCTCGGGGTCAGTGTCTTTCAAATAAAAAATATTCTCAAGCAGGATGCCCACCACGATGAAAAGGCCACGAGAGTAGCACGGGCTGAACACGTGACCATGACTAGGGTTACACATACCACCTCACATGGAGAACAGTTCTCACAGTCTTCCTCTTCTTTGTACATGGCAACTATCTCCTTCCAACTGCTCATGGCAAACACCCTGAAGTCATTCATGACTTCTTTTTTCCTCTCTCACACCCCCCATCAGATCCTTGAAAAATCCTGTTGATGTTACCTTCAGAATATATTTTTAAAACCTGATTACCACCCACGTGGTGTGGCTCAGTAGTTGAGTGTCTACCCTTACACCAAGAGGTCAAAAGTTTGATTCCCAGTCAGGGCACATGCTCGGGTTGTGCGCAATGCCTGAGTGTAGGAGGCAGGTAGGGGGTATGCAGGAGGCAGCTGTTTCTCTCTCATGGATTCATCGATGTTTCTCTTTCTCTTCCTTCCCCTCTCTCTCAAAATCAATAAAAACATTTTTAAAGACCTGATTACCTTTACAACTACTAACCTGGAGAAGCTACTTTTATGTCTCATCCAGATTTTGTAAGACCCTCCTAATCGTCTCTGCTCTGCCCTTTCACCCCCCTCTTCTAATATATTCTCAAAAAAGCTGCCAGGGTACTCCTTTTTAAAATTTCAGTCAGATGATGTCATTTCTCAAAATGCTTCCCTTACCTCTTTGACCTTACTTATTACTATTGTCCTCAATTCAACCACTCTGGCCTCCTTACTGTTCTATGAATGTGAACATCCCAGGCATGCCCCAGGGCCATTAGCCTTGCTGTTCTCACTGACTGCGATGCTATAAACTGGATAGACACACAGGCTTGCCAGCTCACATCTTTACAATTTTGGCTTAATGCTTCCTTCCACCAAGGTCTTCCCTAATCACTTTAACATTGCAACTCCCATCTCCAAACCCCTCATCTCCTTTCCTTCTTTATTGTTCTTTATAGCACTTATCACAATGTGAACACTACATATTGTTTATTCATCTATGGTCTGTTGTCCCCAATAGAATGAATGTATACTCCACCAGAACAGGATTTTTTTGTCTGTGTCTGTTTCATTGTCTGTTGAATCTTCAGGACCTGGAACATAGTTGCATTCAATAAGTGTTAAGGGAATGAATCCCTTTGGCCTTCTGCATATTTGAAATGTCATAAATATATAGACTGGTAGTTAGTGACAGACTCAAAGGCAAATATTGTTAAGCAATTGTCTCCAACTCCCAAAAGATTTCCCAAATTGACAAAACAACTCTGTTTTATTATGAAAGCAAAGTTTATCTAAAAGGAAGAAAAAATCCTTGACTTCAAAATTCTCTAAAATTTTTTCCCCATTTTTTGCTTTCCTTTCATGACTACTGTGTGGGCTCTCAACGTTTCATGTTAAAACATCTTGTTCATCATAGTAGGATTAGGCGGTGGAAGGCAAACTCTGGGAGGAAAATATGTTTCTGGCCCACTGAGTGTCCCCCTTACCCACCCTCTCCAGTAATTCTGACTCATTTGTAGCGAGTCCATGCTTAAAACACAGCACAAACCCACAGACCACAGGCCAAGTTTGTGAGGTGCTCTGGTCAGGACTGCAACCCTCAGGTTGTTTTTCAGGTTTCTGGACAATAACTCAATTCCAGTTCTTGGTTTTGCTATTAAAGTCAGTAACTTCTATGGACCCCTATTTTACCTTCCAGCGTTTGATGTCATGATTCCAAAATGTAACAGCCGTTTAGGAGGACTGTAACCAGAAACAAGGCCAGGTAAGTGAAAACAAGGAAACCTGGGTGCACATACCTAAGTGCATCCTCACCCCACTCCCCAGCCCAAGAGGAGCAGTCAAGGAGAAAGCTGGCTAGACTTTGTTACCTGTAGCAGTTGCTGTTACTAACCAGGAAAGTGGTTAACTTAGATTATATACAATTTGCTCTTCTTGTGCTCTGAGTCCCCCTATTCCCCAATATTTGCAGTCATTCTCTTAATAAGCAGAGGAAGAAGCTGACCCAAATTGGGCCTCTCTCCCGGATTGGGTCTGCCCTTCATTTTAGATTAAAAATTATCCCCCCCAAAAGCCTTTTCAAGAGCAGGGGCGCCCTTATTTCTCCCTGTTCGCTGCCAGCCTCATCCTTGGCCAGGTTTTCCTCATTTCAGAATTTTCTCCAGTTTCATTCCTGAATCATGCCTGACGGCAATTTTCACACTATTTATGTTACGTCTCGAGATGACCTCCGGTGATGGCATTTGTGCTGAGAAAAAAGATGTAATTAGTCCACCGGCCAGAATGGATTCCCCAAAGCGGCCAGCAGTGCCCCGTCCCGGGCTCGGATCTGAGCGGACGGGCTGGCGGCGCGGAGCCGGGTGGAGGCGGGGCCACCGGGGCGCGCGCCCCTCTCGGACGCTCCCTCCCAGGTCCGCGGCGGCTCCGCCCACCTGCCCCTGGCGGGTACCTGGCTGGCGGGCGGGGGCGGCGCTGCACGGCGTCACGCAGCGGGGTGGGAGAGTGGGCAGGTGACAGCCCGGTGGCCTCCTCCCCTTTCTCAGCTTAGTCCGCGGCCAGGCTGCAAGGGCCGCTGTGAGGAGCTCCGCGCTCGCGCCGCCACCCTCTGCTCTCGCGCGCGCCGGGTGCTCGGGCTCCGCTCCCTGCAGGGTGAGTGCGGGGCTGTGAGTGCGGGGCTCCGGGCCCGCGGGCTGGGGCCAAACTTTTAACGAGGCGCGGAGGACAGACGGGGGAAGAGAGAGAGACTCCGAGGGCAGGGTCGGGAGCGCCGGGTGGAGGAACTTGGGCGAAGCGCGCGGCTTAGGATCCGGGTGCTGGAGACTCGCGGAGCCAGGCAGGGCCCTCGCTGGGCTCGGGGTGGTGGGGACAGGGAGTTCGCACCCCGGCCTGCGGTGCCCGGAGAGAAGGCCCTTCCCCGCTGGAGGGCGGGGCCGCCGCGCTCGCTCACCTGTGCGCTCCCGGGGAGCCCCCAGTCAGCCTCAGCGTCCCAAAGGGACCTTGGTCACCGGCTGTCCCGGGGCTATGTGCCTCCCCTACGCGTTCCCACGCGGCGCAGGTCCTGCTGTTCAGGGCGGGAGGGCGAAGGTGCTCGCTGGTGGGACTGGGAGAGGGGAGGACCTGCTCGACCTTGACCACCGAGGTCACTTTCCAGCCCCGGGATCTGGCCTCTCTAGCCACCCCCCAGAATCCTCGAGTCCCTTTCTTCCTACTTCCTTTCCCCGCTGGGGCGCTTTGGTGTCCTTGAAGCCAGAATGAACTTGGGGGCGCCGCTCTTGCAGCGGGGCGCTGCCTCTTTAGCTCCCGGAGCTGCGTTCATTCTATCCCGGCGGCTGCTGGTGGCCGAGGAGGGGAGTGATGAGCAGAGCCGTGGAACAGGTCGTGCCGGAGAGGGAAATGGGAAAGCCTGTTGTTTCATCTTCCAAGGTAGCATTCATTAGGAAATGGGCCTCTCCCCTTAATCAGTCAGCGCTGATTCAAACTTACCGAATTCGGGGACAGCGCTGTTGGGAGCTGGGACTGACTGGAAGGGGACGGTGTGGCTGGGGAAACTAGTTCCACATCGACTGAAGAGTAGTTTCGGCGAGCCAAGCCTTTCCCTTCTTGCTGAGATGTCCCCCTCGGAAAGCATTTCCACGTAACCCTATACTCAGGTTACTCTTTATGTCACTCCTCACTTTTATTGTTTAACTGCTGTGAAAGTCATTGATACTTTGTGGCTGCCTCTGTCTTTGTACCGCTCACTTGCTTATTAATTCCCGAATTTTGTAGTTTCTGCTCCTACTACTGGCCAGAAATTGTTCTTCCCAAGGTCACCAAGGACTGAAATAATCTTTTTCCTCCAACAGCAGATATTTATATCGAGTGCTTTATGTGCAGGGCACTGTACTAAGAACTTGTGTTTACTCTGAATCCTCCCAACCATCCTGTGAGGTAAATGATTTCATGGATGAGGAAACTGACAGTAACCTGCCCAAGGGCACAGGAGTATCAGGGAATTCCAGCTAGGGCTGTGGCCCAGCACTGGGGCTGTTAACCACTGCCTCACCTGGAGCTCCTTTCTTGGTCCTTGTTTTCCTGAAGTACTGTGCTGTGTCAAGCCTCATTCACCAGACTGTCTTTCTCAGATTCCTCTTTTCCATCTTGTGTCTCTATTTACTAGTTTGGGTTCTTCTTTTTAACATTTTGTAAGGACATCATACCTGCCAATGATCGTGTCCATTCTGGAAGATAAAAACCATGGCTGACAATATCTCTCTATTTAAATGCCTCTCCCAGAGCAAATTGTTCCAACCCCAAGACACAGGCACAGGAACTCTATAGAGATTTGGTCAGGGAATGTGAGAGCATTTCTTTCTGGTTCCACAACTGCAAAAGCCTATAACTTAAAGTGTAATGTGGGCAGAGCAATTGCATTCATTTTATAGACAGACTACTCAAAACATACATCTCACTGGTTGTGTCAGTGAGTGTAAAAAATTTGAGTTTGTCTTTGAATAAGAAAAAATGGTGTGTGTGTCCAACATCTATGGAACCCGAAGCACATCCAGACAGCACCAATAAAGGGATTTACACTTATTACTTGAATATATGCCACTTTAAATATTCTTTATTAATAATAAATAGGTGGTTCAGAGAGTTCTGATTTTCTCTTGCTATCAAAAATTAGCATATTTTTTATTTTCCTAAATTGCTACCTTTTTGATAATATGTATATAATTACTGATTGCTCCCTGATTCCACCCAAACTCACTCTTTGTTAGAATGGCTGACTTTGCCTGAATGCTGTCAGATGCTGGTGAGATTTTTAAAAAACTGTTATGAATGATATAATTAAATCAAGACAAGGCTTACATTTTGCCTTTCCTACTCTTTTCTTTTTTTACTTTAATTTTTTTCTTTCTTGATTTTAGAGAGAGAGAAAGGGAGAAGGAGAGAGAGGTAGAAACATCGATGAGAGAGAACATCAGTTGGCTGCCTCCTGTGTGCCCCCCACTGGAGATTTGGCTCACAACCTGGGTATGTGTCCTGACCAAGAATTGAACCGGCGACCTCTTGATGCATGGGTCGATGCTCAACCACTGAGCCACACGAGCCAGGCTCTCCTCTTTTCTTTTCTTCCTCCCCTCCCCATCACAACAGAGTTGAGAGGGTATTAATTATTTTTGATTTGATGGAACTGCTTTACCAGAATGCATGGTATCTGCATTTTGCTCAAAAAACACCCAGAGCAAAAAAAAAAAAAAGATTTCATAGGACTTTGTTTCTTCTGTTATCACCTCCACTCGTCTGGCTTAAGATTCTTTGTTTTCCATGTGTCTTACTCAGTATGAATGTAGCATCTCTTACTCAGTGAATATAATATTTCATTTGGACTTGCTCTGCTTTGCCCCAAAGCATCTGTAGTTGACATTATTTCTGTCAAGGGCCCCCTTCATTTTCCTTGTAACGTAGGTGCCAAACTCTGTGGTCCTATCTCTGATCACCATCTCCCAGTCATGAAATCTATTCAACTTTTTCCTTGTTTCTTCCTTCTAGCCTTCTTCAGTCTCACCCTCTCCCCATCCTCTCTTCACCCATCTCCCTCCTTCCCACTCCTGAACACTTAGTTATTACTACTCTCATGTCATTTTCTACTATTGGTAATCTTCTTTCATAAATGTTTGATGACCACAAAAAGATTGTAAACAACTTAGGACTTTACATCTCAGGCCTTACATAAAAGAAAGTGTTCTTTATTATTATTATTGAATTTATTGGAGTGACATTGGTTAATAAAATTATATAGGTTTCAGGTGTATAGTTCTGTAATACATCATCTATATATTTGTGTGTTCACCACCCCAAATCAAGTCTCCTTCCTTCCATCACCACTTATCCCTGTTCTTTACCCTCTCCTACCTCTCCCAGGCCCTTTCTCTCTGGTAATCACCATACTGTTGTCTGTGTCTATGAGTTTTTTTTCCTTAATCCCTCTGCTTTTTTTTACCCAGCCCCCAAACTCCTCCCCTCTGACAGCTGTCAGTCTGTTCTTTGTATCTAAGAGTCTGTTTCTATTTTGTTTGTTAATTTATTTTGTTCATTAGATTCCATATATAAGTGAAATCATATGGTAATTGTCTTTCTCTGACTGGCTTATTTCACTGAGCATAATAGTCTCCAGGTCCATACATGCTGTCCCAAAGAGTAAGATTTCTTTATTTTTTATGGTTGCATAGTATTCCATTATGTAAATGTATCACAGCCTATTTATCCACTCATCTAATGATAGACCATTGGGCTGCTTCCAAATCTTGGCTATTGTAAATAATGTGCAATGAACATAGGGGTGCATATATTTTTTCGACTTAGTGTTTTGGGTTTCTTTGGGTATATTCCCAGAAGTGGAATCACTGAGTCATAAAGAAGTTTCATTTGTTTATTTATTTCTTTTGTTTCTCTTGCCTATTATATCAGATAAAATATTGCTATGAGAAATGTCTGAGATTTTGCTGCCAATGTTTTCTTCTAGGATTTTTATGGCTTTGGGTCTAACATTTAAGGCTTTAATTGATTTTGAGTTTATTCTTGTGTATGGTGTAAGAAGGTGGTCTAGTTTCATTTTTTTTTTTTTTTTTTGCATGTATCTGTCCAGTTTTCCCAACACCATTTATTGAATACACTATCTTTACCCCATTGTGTTTTGCCTCCTGTGTCAAATATTAATTGATGATAAAGGTGTGGGTTTATTTTGGGTCTCTCTATTCTGTTTCATTGAGCTATATGTCTAATTTTATGCAAGTACCATACTGTTTTGATTACTATGGTTTTGTAGTATATTTTGATATCAGGTAGAGTGATTTTTCCAACTGTGTTCTTCTTTCTCAAGATTGCTTGGTCTATTCAGGATCTTTTGTGGTTCCATATAACTTTTTTTAATGCTTGTTTTAGTTCTGTGAAATATACCATTGGCATCTTGATAGGAATTGCATTGAATCTATCGATTGCTTTGGGTGGTATGGACAGTATAATGATGTGAATTCTTACTATCCATGAACCCAGTATATACTTCCACTTATTTGTATCTTCTTCATTTTCTTTCTTCATTGTTTTATAATTTTTCAAGTACAGTTCTTTTACCTCCTTGGTTACATTTATTCCTAGGTATTTAATTTTATTTGTTTGGATGAAATTATAAATGTGGTTATTACAAAAATTTTTTTCTGACAGTTCATTATTGGTGTATAAAGATGCAACTGATTTCTGCATATTTATTTTGTATCTTGCTACTTTACTGAATTCATTTATCAGTTCTAGTAGTTTCTTGGTGGAATCTTTAGCATTCTTTAAGTACAGCATCATGTTATTTGCAAATAATGATAGTTTTACTTCTTTCTTTCCAATTTGGGTGCCTTTTACTTCTTGTCTGATTGCTGTGGCTAGAATTCCAGTACTATGTTGAATAAGAGTGATGAAAGCAGACATTCCTGTTTTGTTCCTGATCTTAAGGGAAACTCTTTTAGTTTTGCCCATTAAGTATGCTGTTGGCTGTGGGTCTGTCATATATGGCCTTTATTTTGTTGAGGTATGTTCCCTCTATTCCCACTTTGCTGAGAGTTTTTATAAATGGGTGCTGGACTTTATCAAATGCTTTTTCTGTATATATTGATATG